CCCCCCAGGCAGCAGACGTAATAGATCCCTACTCAACTATTGCTCAGAAATTGTCTTTATATGTTCCTTATGCATGAATGAATATTAATAATTGATTTTCATAATAGTAGCTATAAATCAAGTTTTGGCACAGTGATTCATACCCCAACTCCCAACTATGAGATCATGGGCTTAATCACGATTCCTTACCATATTCATTTTTTGGAAAAACATTACCATATGGCTCTTATATCAAGGGATTGTCTATTTCAATATATTTTCTTAAAATCGTGTAATTGCCCTTGTGCCCCCTTTATAAAAGATATGTGATTTGTTGCCACCTTTTAAAAAAATTATCAACTATGAAAAAGCTAGTTTTATGATTGTTACAACCTAAAAGGATGTTGATTTTTAAGAACTATTAATTGCTCTGTAATTGCCTGCTCATGTTAGTGGACGAGTAATAACTTAAAACCATGTGGAGGAGAGTTGGAAGGGAAAGAGCAAAACTTTTACCTCTTCCATGCATATAGCATACACACACAAACACACACACACACACACACACTATATATATATATATATATATATTCTGTCAGTGATAAAGTACCTAATTTTCTGTCCTTGTGATTATACAGGGGTGTGGCTTATCTTCATAATGAGCCCAACGTCATCATTCATAGGGATCTAAAGCCAAGGTGATTTTATCACTATTCTGTCAAGAGCCAATATTCTGTTCGATTACTACCTTTTGAGTTTCACTCAACTACAAGAATATCTTTAGGAATGTACTACTGGTGAACTCCAACGCTGATCATCTAAAGGTTGGGGACTTTGGCCTAAGCAAGCTCATTAAAGTTCAGAACTCCAATGATGTGTACAAAATGACAGGAGAAACTGGAAGCTGTAAGTTTTATATCCAATGGTTTTGGGAGGCTGCGGATTTATATCGAGTTAATATTTTTGTTTTTCCTTTACTGTTTGAGGATGTAAGATCGCTACATGGCACCTGAAGTATTCAAGCATAGGAAATACGATAAAAAGGTTGATGTTTTTTCGTTTGCAATGATACTATACGAGGTAATACATGTTTATATTTAAAAAAATTTTATGTATATCGTGGATGCTGACTGTTATTGTATGCTCAAATAGATGCTTGAGGGAGATCCCCCTCTGGCAAACTATGAACCATATGAAGCCGCCAAATTTGTGGCCGAGGGACATCGTCCAGCATTTCGAGCAAAAGGATACACGCCCGAGTTGAGGGAGTAAGCTTTTAAAAACCTGATTCTCTTTTAATGTATATGAACCTGACTCTCTGTTGTACTTGTTGTCAAAAGTTGTATGTACTGTAATTATCTAACTAATCTCGTCAACTCTTAAGAAAAACTAGGAAAATCCATATTCTTTTTCATTGGCCCGCGGAGTTTACAAGTTCCATGAACATCTGATCTTTTCTCTTGTAGTGAAATGGAACCCGCAAAATAAAAATTTCATTGATAACATATTACATTCTAGATCTTGATTTTTCTGTTACTTTGCTAGGTTGACGGAGCAATGCTGGGCTGCAGATATGAATAAAAGACCTCCTTTTCTAGAGATTCTCAAGAAACTTGAGAAAATCAAGGATAATTTGTCGCAAGATCATCATTGGCATATATTCAACCAATGAAGAAGCAACTTTTATGGCCTTCCATTTAGATATTCTCTTTTTCCTATCCTCCTTTAGCAAGAATGAATAACTTCATATTTCCTAATTGGTTTGATAGTTAGCTATAGCCAATTGTTAATAGTTGTGATATCTATTCAAATTTATGCAGTTTGAATCCAATGTATATGTTGAAATCATGAAAGGTCTCAGCTATTTTTCTTGTATAACCAGAACTTTAATTAAGGATCGAATTTCATCAGCTTAATAAATTATAGCTTAAGAAATTAACTGTTCATTAGAACGTGAGAAAGAAATACAAAAAGTTTATGAAGTTTAATTTTATTAAGTATAATAATACCAATTTAAAAGTCACCAACACGTATATGATGTCAACCCATTTGAAAGGCTCCACCCATCGAAATTATAACAATATTCGTATGTAATTAGTGTTATTCATTGAGCAAATTTTAATGCATTTAAGTATAAAATGGTCATAAAAGTAACAAAAAGCTAAGTCACTTCCGCCAATGATAGTGAGTGCTTTTGAAGAATCAAGTCAATTAATATATGATACAGCACCCTAAAGGTCATAAATGAGTTCTTGTAATTAACTTTAGGGTTAAGTCAACTTAATACCGATCCTTTCTGTCACGGGCGAGCCATCTTGTTTGGTGGGGTGGATGTTGCCATCAAATAAGGATCATTTATTTTATCCTAATGGCAATAATTTATTGAATAAAAATAGCGGTTTTTTTTCTCTTTTTTGGTTGATTTTATTGGGAATTTGCTTCAAATGTCAGTATGTATTTTTTTTTATTTTTTTTAATATTTTTGAGTGAATTTAATCATAAACAGATGTTACAAATTTTATTATGCAAATCTCAAACATATGACGTTTAGGGTGGACTAAAGGTCTGAATCACTAGATTGATATGGATTGTTTTATATACATATGTAGCGACTTGAAGCACATCAATGATAGCTAAGGCAAAATGACTCCTCAACCATGTGAGCTATACAATGATTGACATTTGCAAATTGAATGTTGAGACCACAAAATTTGGCCACATTCACTTGAAAATAATTAACATAAGATCACTAAACCCTAAATGTTTTAAAAAAACTACGTATCATATTTTAAAAAGTTTTGAAATTAAAAAATGTCTTACCATTAAAGAATATAATTTATAGAGAATATTTTAGAGAACCTGATATATAAAGAATATATAATCAAAAAAGTCGAGCTGATAATAAAGAAAAATGTGATAGGCAAATAATTAAAGTAATACTGGACGTATCTACAAAACCGCACAGATAAATAAATAAAGCCTCCCGTCAGAGGCCTCACTTATCTTGGAAAGTTTGTAGAACTGATTGTAACGCGGATAAAAATTGGTTGATTGTTGACGCTTCTTATAGTACACTCACTGTAACTTAAAATGCCAAAAGTTAATAATTTCTCCTTCTGTTAACACTAAACCAGAGAAAACATCTCACAAAATAACAAAAAGTTCTAACTAAACTAAAGAAGCTTCTTTCTCTCAAAATAGGTTTTTAGATGCCATAGCTGCAATCCAGCAACCGATAAACATACAACAAGGGAAAGGAAGCTCAACCAAGCCATCTTCGAATTTGTTGCTATGTTCATTTCTTGCATTTCTTCCTCCCTGAAAACATAAAACACAAAATACAACTTCACCAACTTTACGAGGTGCAGAATAAATCCCACATGATTTTTCAAAATCAACCACACTTTCTTCATGTTAATAAAACGAGAATTTATCGACATCACAAGACATCTTTCATTGAAAACAAAGATGCAATTCTAATAGACTCAATTTCTATTCCAAAAAAAAAAAAAAATCTTATGTGAAACAGCTTGTGTCGACAAATCTAGTCAGATTGGGCGGATCAGGCTTCAACCAGACTAATCTATTAGGCTCAATTGAATTGTTGCACTCTCCCACGATGCATCTTGTGTGTTGAATCAAAGGTCAACCATTAAGGGGCATGTAGGGGATGGGGGTTTCTATCAAAAGATATGATCCTTAGTAGTGGAAATGAACAAAGGGCATCCGTTTGTTAACCACTTGACAGGGAGTTTCAATAATCCTCCCTTGTCACTCCACGCTTAAATCTTAATAGGCCTCATTCTCTCTCTTCTTCAAACGGCTGCCATAGTGATGCAATCAAAAATTTGGGAGAGGGACCCAAATTTTTTATCACAAAAAAGAGAAACTTCTAGAGAATAAAAGATTATAAGAACTAGACAAATTAAACAAAACAAAACACAATTTTAATATTATAAAAACTATTACAACTTGGACACTTACAAACGACTCAAATGACTCTTACAAGACACCTAAAGTTGCTTTCCAAGAGAAGAAGGATACAATGGAATGATTACTATGGAGAGAAGAAAGAGATTAGGAGACGAGACGAAGATTGGAAAGAGCCCGCAGGATTTCCGAAGGAGGTGGAAGAGGGAATGGACAAAGCTCGCAAGCTTTTCCAAACAACAAACCCGCAGGTTTTATCTCCAAAAATCACTCACATAAACTTAAACTTATAACACTTACAACATCATCTCATTTTTATAGGCAAAGAAAAGGAATGCCAAAAGCCACAAGCTTTTCCTTGCTGAAATCCCAAGAGACACAGCAAAAAATTCCAATGAATAAAGCCACGGAACCAGCCAGGAACAAGCACAAGCCACGGTTTCAGCACAGGAAACCAGGAGGCAATTCAGGGAAATCAATTCTCGGTCAAAAAAGAGGTGCCAGAGCAGTAAAGTAGGCAGCCACCCGAAGAGGCAGCAACAAACCCGAAGAGAGCAGCCCCCCTTTTGTCTACATCACATAGCCATGTGGCTCAGGTCTTCACCATCCAAACTTCAAAAGGGATTGTTGTCAGGACTGTTCCCTTCCCAATCCTTCTATTTTTCTCCTTCTTACCTTTCCTCTTGAGATCAGGGGAAAGGTGAAACCTAAATTAATATTTTTTGCCAAATCATATCTATTCCAGCTATACAATTTTATATTTGAGCCTTATTGTATGACTGATATGCATGTTTATACTTGGAGTCCATGATTATGATTGATTTAAGTTTTATTTGAGACAGCTTTCTTACTTCTTTTTAAACCAGTTTTTTAATACAAAAATTTTTTCATTCAAAAAAACTTTGTACTACAAAGATGTTTTAAAAAGCAATCAAAAAATTGCTCCAAATAAAGCCTTAGTGTAGAACAGACCTACCCTATATAAAAAAAAAAAAATGGGTGAATTAAGAGTAATTATCTCCCAATCAATGTAAGGAAGAATAAATTCCTGGTAGGAACTGTGCGGTTGGCTTCTGTTTTGTTTCTACTTTCTAGGCTTTTGGAGGGCATGCATCGCAGATAATAAAGATAGTAACATGTCCCCCCTACGGTTACTCAATTTGAAAGGGATAAGTGAGCACCTTAGTACTCACATTATTTTCTAAATATTTTATTGCCCGTCTGTACAGAATAATTCATGAATACAATACATTAACATATGGTATTCCCAGATTAAAAGCATTAAAATCCATGTGATTAATTATTTTGCGTCTGCATCACTATCTTTGAGTTAAATATTTCCTGCATTCTAATAATATGGAAAACTATTGTTATTACGCAATTGAATGGATCATGACAACGATCTCACAAAGGCTTGGCATTGAAGCATGATAAATGTGTAATATTGAGAATGGTTAACCCCAATAAATCTATATGCATTATTGCTCCAGAGGGTTCACCTATAATACTTAATATTAGGATGTCAAAAATCAAGCATTGATGTCGTGTTAGGCATCAAGAGGAAAGACGATACTACTCTCGACAACCGGGCATCATTACTGTGAAATTGGCATCAAACATTAACGTCAGGTGTCGGCGTTGATCTCAAGATGACATCGGTTGTTGATATTAAGATCACATTGGACAAAAATGAGATGTTGAGAAGGCACGGGAGCGTGATTGTGGGTGTAAAAATTGCAAACATCGAGCGTCAATGCCAATGCAACATTATACTTCGATATTGAAATGGTTTTGAAATACTGATGTTATGATGACATTAGATGTCGGTATTAAGATGACATCAAGCATTGTTGTAAAACCTTAGCTGGAACTTACTAAAGAGAAATGAAAATGTGAATATTCAGGGAATGGGTATTAAACGTGGGTGATTGATTTCAGATTTTAGAGAGAAAATAAGAAATTTACTTTTTTTTACTAAATAAAAAATTTGAGATACAATAAATTATATCTTAAAAAAAATCATAAAATATTTTAGACGTGTGTCGGACATTTGTCCAATTTATTTTTAATATTTTTTAAATCTGACACGTCGTCGGCGAGTTCGACGCGTATCGAAGAAGTGTCGAATGCATGTCATGTCCAATACATCTCATACACAGTATACCTCTTTGAGGAGAAGTGTTTGTGCATCATAGGGGTTCACATTCTGGCTAGACTTGGCTAGACTTGCATCAACCATAATACTCAAAATTATGCAAGTTTTTAGAGAGGTTGAGGAACTTTATTAGGTTGCATGAAAACATTATTATCGATACTAAACATTACCATGTAATTGTTAACATATCTATTTATCCAATGAGAATTCATCAATTGGGATACACAAATGTATATATTGACTATAATAAATTAGAATTTTTGGATATAAAAATGTTACCCTAAAGTATCTTAATACATGATCCATACTACTAGCATTCACACGAGCAATCCCTATAACATATTAATGACCACTTGCATGACATAACAATCATAATGACATCACACATACAAAACTGTAATAATGACATAATCACCATCATCATTATTAGCAATCCTAACTATGTAGCATTGAGTTTATGAATCATTCTTTCAATTCATGTTGTTGTATTATATGAGTTGTTACCACGTGGTTTATACTTTTCTTTATTATAACTTCAAATCATGTTACTTTCCCCATCCTATGATTTTTAAAGTAATTCTTTTCATATACCTCATTGAAGCATATCTCCCACTCCTTGTATATGACAAAAATAATAATAATAAAAACACCACATATTTTGCTATCTTATATTTAGGGGTGTTAATAAATAATCGGACACGCCAACCCAACTTGAAAATTTTGAATTCGGGTTGACCCATTTAATAAATAGGTTGAGTTTGGGTTTAGAATTTTGACATGCATATCAAACTAATTTTGACTTGATAGTGAGCCATTTAAATTTTTTTTTTCCTTGATTCTTTTGTTTATTGGTTTGATCTTATTATTTTATCAATTAACTAAAACACCATGGATGACAAGTTATTAAAAAATATTAATCAAAATTAGTTATTAGGTCAAATTTGGGTCTGCCTTTAGACCCATTTATTAAATTTGGGTTGAGTAAATTTCGAGTTGGGTTAATTTCAAGTCAGAACGGAAACCAACACATTAACCCATTTTGACACTACAACAACATCAAGCCTTTATCCCACTATGTGGGGTCGGCTACATAAATTCTTTTTCTCCATTGTATCCTCTTAATAGTCAAAATTCTCATTTAAATCTAATATAAAAAAGATCATTTCTAATATTTTCTAACCAAGTCTTTTAGGTCTACCTTTACCTTTTTTAACGCAAGTCATATCTAATACATCTACTTTCCTAACCGAGTCATCGGAAGGCCGCCATTTTATGTGACACTTTATATTAAATAAGTGTTACTTCCACCATTTCTCTAAAATAAAAATTCCCAATATGTCCGTAATTTTATCTTACATCCATCTTAATATTTTCATTTTTGCTACACCCACTTTGGTTCACAGTCACACTTTGAAGTCCATCACTTCAATCTCAAATAATTAAAGTTATACTTTATTTATGAATTGGTACTTCTTGCATTTTGCATGCCCAATTTCTTTGTTGCTTATACCTTTTACCAAATGCATCGTGTACTAAATTATACAAACTCATGACAATCTAAAGTTGTGGTCACTTTACTATTTTGAGCAAGTGAGGTTAGGTGCTATTAAGGATTAATTCTATTTACTATACGACATGGTCATTCAATGTAAATAATGCATTTTTTCCCTTCTAAAAAAAAATCCATTATGCATACTCTTCAACCTCGACATTCCCAGAATATGCTGAATGCAATAGAGTGTACCATGAAAAGTAATTGAAAATGTTGCTCGTGAATCAGAAATAAAAAAGATATTATACCAACATAATAATGTTTCACTTATTAGAAAAAGCACAAACCTTTCACGAAGATAGAACATTTCATCATGAATGGACTTCACAGTATCCTCCAACTTCTTTAATTCCAGCTCCATAACCTTCAAAGAAAAAAATATGCAATTATCAAGACCCGCAACCCAAAATCATATGCAAGTATGCTTGAAGTCAACATGTTACAACATCTTTCAAGTCTTGCGGTTTAACATGGAAGAAGTATGTTTTCTTTTTCAGGAAATAGAGAGAGAGAGAGAGAGTGTGTGTTCGTTACTGACCATCTACAAAATCACCTCAAAATCTATAATTTACAACTAAAAAGTGCTTGATATTCCAATCAAAAAGGATGATCACCATCATTAGTCTTATCCTATGTGCACCGACACTTCTCCTCAAAGAGGCGTGCAGTGTCCGACAATGTATCTGACACAACACTCGTCTGACAATCTTACACGTGTCAGACATACCAAAAACGTGTCCGATTAAAAAATATTAAATACAAATTGGACACGCATGTCCAACACGCGTATATTAAATATTTATGAATTTTTTTTAAATATAATTTCTTGTATTTGGTGGGTTAAACGAAATTCTTATTTCTTATCCACAATACCAAATAAACGTCCGCACTTAATACCCAATCATCAAATATTCTCATTTTCATTTCTTTTTTACAGTGAAGGTATTTTCATCTCCTCTCTCGGTGACTGATAAACGGTATCAACGTCTAACTCTCAACATCCTAATACTAATCATTTTAAGGACAAATTCTAGTTAAATGACTTATTATTTTCAAATTATTTTTAAAATTATACTTGTTTAATTTTTATACAATATTTTTTAAATATAAAAACTATAATACCGTGTCCAACCCATGTCCGTGTCCTATATTTTCAATAACTAACGTGTCTCGTGTCCGTGTCATGTCATATCTGTGTTGTCGTGTTTGTACATCATAGGTCTTATCCCAACTATTTTGTATTATCATTATGAATCTCAACTATTAAATGTTGTTGTGTTAAATTTATTATTTCCAAATAATTTTGTACACCATCTATAAAAGTGACCATAGGTCTACCCATTTTCTTCATAATATTTTAACACTAATTTTATCTACTAATCTAATATGTCCCAACCACTTAAATCTATTTCTAGTTTTGTTTATCTTGAATAAATGTAACTCTAATATTTCCTTTAATATAATCATTTTTTAATTTATCCTTCCTGGTATTATCATACATTCATCTTAATATCATCGAAATATTTATGATTTTATGTTTGTCTTTAGGCCTCAATGATATCCCTTATCACACAAAATTTCATAACATCCATGAAAGATTGAACCCTTCATTTAAAAAGCAAATCCCAACTCTCATTTTTAATTATTAGCTAATATTACTAATATTAACTAAAATTTTAACTAAATTGCAATAGTTGTTCAAGTATTTACATTATTAAAGTTCGAATTTTTTTTAGCTTCTTTTATTACAACAAGTAAGCCAATGAAGATGCTTCTAGGCTTTTGACTTGGTGAATGTTTTGTGCTTTAATTTTTTAAGACGAATATCTCTATTAAAATCATGGAGGGACGCTGCAATGTATGTATTATGTGATACATCGGATAGCTTCAATTTTTAACACAAGTAATATTTTAAGCACAATTCAATTGATCTTTGAGCTCTCCCTCCTCATGGCTCTGTCTCCTATTTTTTTCTAGATAATTCTTTGGCGTACAGTGTTGATCATTCAAATCAGTTTCAATTTGTTTTAATGTAACTCTCTACTTCCCAAATTGGAAGTAGTTTGCAAGTCTTTTAAACCTTGTAATCAGATTTTGATATTTAATGTTATCAGTTATCTTTGTAGTTTGCTTTTACAAGATATCCTCATTTTGTGTTATGCGCATCAAATCATCCGATCCTTACATAGAAATTTGAAATTGATACTTACTGTATAATTAAGTCATTATATTATAGACTCATGAGTCTGCAAGCATGTCAAACTTATTTTATTGATAACATAATATTGCTTAATTGCAGTGATGCAGAACTAGGAACAAGATAGATTCAGCTACCATTTTCAAAACTACAATTCGTAGATTCAATGATGAAAATAAGCAGAAATTAAATTTAACAGCAAAATCATGAATCAAAAACTAATTAGAGTTTATTAAGTCACATTAAAGTAACTTGAAATCAAATTTAAAAATAGTCAATGGCTGACGCACACCATGCTTTAATCTTTAAATACACGTTTTTTATTCAAGTTTTCATGCTTTAACTAAAAGAAAATTATCTTTCTAACAGTATTTTCAAAGCACTAAGCGCAAAATAATATGCAAAAGTTCACTAGTCATTTTTGTTTCAAAGTACAAAGCAAAAGAATATTTTTACCAACTAGAATGTTCATGGCTTGCATATCATTTAGTCATAAACTGTGCATAAAATAATAATTTAATTAGCCAAACTCAAATCACATAAAATATTAATTTTTAACAAATAGAATAATATGTTCAATAATAGTCATTTGTCAGCCATCTGAAAGCGAAATTAAGCATCAAATTATAAATAATGAAATAATTAAAAAAATATCTAAAAATCAAGATTACACATGAGATTGAGTGATCAACTAGAGATAAAAAGGTGGATGTAATGTGAAGAGAGTGCAAAGATGAGATATCAAGAATTATTCTTAAGAAAAAACTTGTGAGAGAAAATTAGTAATGCCATGAATGACCAAGAAGCGTATAAAAAAAAAACTAGAAAGCATGGGTAGGTGTGTGAGCCAAAAGCTCACTATACAGCATAGCCTTGCTAGGCCCTCGATTGGTACCCAACTGATTGTAGTCTGATTCGTATGAAGCCTCCGTAGGATTCTAGCTCTATAAGGTAATGATTTCTTGCTGTAAAAATGGTTAGTTTGAATTACCCTAAGAACTAATGAGATCCTTCTCTAACTTTTGCCCCCATCCCAAAACTTATAACTATAAATAGGAGTTGTTTACGACATTTAAGAGATTGTTGCACCCATTGAGATCCAATTAAAAGCTTGCAATGACTCTTTGCAAAATCTCATCAAAACTCTCTGAATAGTCTTGAACCTCACTTTTGACTCGCTTTGTATAACTTACATTCATCGTTTCACTCACCGACCGAGTATAATACTCAAGCCATAACAACCATTTCATTAAGTGAATTCTTCACAAAGGTTCCAATTGCAAAACCAGCTTTTTATTTTTCTTTCAAAATTTGCAATTGCATAACAAAACCAACCTTTTAAGGAGTTCATTTCCTGCATTTTTATGCCGTCAATGCTAGCTATTCTATGTTTTTCTTCAACTTATGTTTCTAGCTCTTTTTCTCCTGTAGTTTTTCATTTTCTCTCCAGTCTTTTCCTTTTTCCTGTTGTCTTCTCATTTTCTCTAGTGTCTACTCGTTCCTCCTGCTGATTGTTTGAATACCCTGCTGTTGTTTGGTCTTCCCATGGTGGTTGTTTGGTTTCCCTCTGTGGCTGCTCAATTTCCCTGCTGCTGGCTCTCGGTTTCTCTACTGCCCTTTGGTTTCTCCAGGTACTGGCTTCTCGTTTTAGGCTCCTTCTTGATTCCTATAAAGGTGTTTTGACTTCTCATTATGTTGGTTGTTTGGTTGAGTTATATTGGCTGCTTGGGTGGCTCATTTAAGAGAGCATTTAATGCCTTTTTCCCCTTCCTCTTCAATATAAAGTGCATGATTTCATTTGTGAAAAAGGGGGATTTGTGATGAACTTTTGGAACAAGAAACCTACGGGTTTTTAGCTTGCGAGCTATCCTCTTCTACCTTCCCTCTACTAATTCTTCTTGGACTTCTATCTTCTCTTCTCTCCACGGTTTTCATTCCACCTGAATCCTTCTTCTCGAAACTATTGAAAGTTGTAAGTTTTGTTGTGTCTTGTTTTATTGGAAGTTGTAAGTGGTGTTGTGTCTTGTTTTATTGTAAGTTGTAAGGTGTTGTTATGTCCAGTTTAATTTGAGTTTGAAGTGGTGTGTTGTTTTGTTCTATCGGTGTTTATTGAAAGGAAGTGATTATTTGCATACCTAGTGTTCTCCTAAAAGGTTTAGAAACTTTAGGTTGCATCAATTTGATATTAGAGCATTACGTTGTAGGTCAAATCTTCATTTATCTCTAAAAAAAAAGGATAATCAAAACAATCAACAAGCCGAAATTCCAATTCAATAAGAAGATCTGCCATCATAAATAGTGCATTCAGAACATCATGGAAGTACTATCATTCAACCAGACGAACCAAATCAAGTAATCCATAACTTTTCATCAACAGAATTGGTTCCACTTTAAGCAATTTATTTTAATCCAATAGAGAATGAAATATTCAGAGTGCAAAGATAATAATATTTATTTACTGAGAAGTATAAAAATAAGAAACCGCTACTTTGGTTAGAGAGTGAGCAAGAAAATGAGAAGATATGATATTCTACAGAAGGATGTTGAGAGGGAGTATTTACATTAAAAAAAATGAAGATTATTTTACATAAAGTTGTTGATCTTATTACAAATAAAGGAGAATCAACTAATTTTGCGAATATAGAGGCTATGCCTCTTACTGTTCAAGTTCAGACACGTGATGATCTTGCTGAAGATGTCGTGGATATCCGTACTACCCATACAAGGCATGGAGTACACAGACAACTCTTGGTTAGATGGAGTGGACGTCCTTTGTTTGATTGCTCTCGGATTGAGGCTGTGGAGTTGCAACGTCTTCGTCCTGATATTTTCCTATGTGTTATTGAGGCATTCTCATTAGGAACTGATGTAGTCAAGGCTAGCTATCCTTTGTTTTTTTTCACATATATTTCTAGCTCTCTTTCTTATGTGGCTTTTCATTTTCTATGTTGTCCACTAAGTTTCCCTATTGTCTTTTCTTTTTTCCTGTTGACTTCTCATTTTCTATGTTGCCTACTCGTTTCCCCTGCTGATTGTTTGAATTCCCTGCTGTTGTTTGGTTTCTCCACGTGGCTACTTGGTTTCCTTGTTGTTTTCTTGGTTTCCCTACTACTTGCTCTCGGTTTCTCTGCTGCCCTTAGGTTTCTCCAGTTGTTGGCTGCTCGTTT